CGTAGACATACAGTCGTATGTGGTTGTAGCCGACGGCAGAGCGTACACAGCACTGTCCCTGATACCAAGCGATCTTGGAAGCAGCTTGCAGTTACTGCATGTACTAGGGGGTGTCGTCGGCTGGCTCTTTGCCAAGCCCTCCGGTTCCGCTAAAAACGGTTACCAACTCACAGGCTCATCGTTTAACCACACTGCAGATATATGGTTCCCAGCTACCGGTGACAGAGTTACAGTCAATCAGGAATATCTCGGACATGACGTGTTCGATCAAATCACTTTGGAAATAGACGTCAGGGGCTCGTTGCCAGCAATTGTACCAGGAACTAAACTAGACATTGCCAACTACGATGAACAATATACACTAGTAGAACCTGGTCTAATTCGATCCGAATCTAGTAGAACGTTTACAAACAAGGCTACAGGAGAAAAATACGTACAGAAAGTATCGCAAACATTCTCGTTCAATTCTTGTCGGTTTGCACCCGCTACAGTCGAAGACAATACGCCATCAACATTGAAAATCAGTAAAAATTACTTAGGTTATGAACCCAGGGAAAACATAGTCCGATACGGATTGAGTAATAAGATATTTCCCCTGGGTGAAGAAGATCCTTGTATTCAAGGCCGGAATACTTGCGGGCCTCACAGTTCCTGTGTAGTTCAAGGAAACTCATTTGCTTGCGTCTGTGATTCTGGTTTTACAAACAATTATGACAACACCTGTGTTGATATAGACGAATGTGGAATTGGCACACATAACTGTGATAGCAACGCTGACTGCAACAACAACGACGGTGGCTTCCAGTGCAGATGTCGTCTAGGATTCATTGGTAACGGCATTCAATGCAAACGGTTGTCCACATGCCAGGACAAGAAATGTGATGGTAATGCTCGATGCATAGAGAACCCCGGTGGTGAACCCATATGTGAATGCAATCCTGGGTTCAATGGAGACGGACAATACTGCTATCCAAATTATCAGAACACTTGTGGCAACTGTTCCCCATATGCTTCCTGTATATTCATTGACAACAACTACATATGTAGATGCAATGCAGGTTATTCTGGTGATGGATACAATTGTCAGCAAGATGCTCGCGAAGATACATTCGAGACAACTCGTACACCACCAACTGATGAAAACAATGAGGCCGACTACAATAACACCGTTGTTTTACCTAACTGTGACTCATTCAGTTGCACATGTCCTGAAGGCTACACGGAGTACAGGGATGCCTATAACAATCAACTGTGTAGAATCGTGAACTATTACCAGAGTTCAGATAATAACTACCAGGAACCTACTGACCCCTACTACCAGCCGCCTACAGAGTCGTATTACCAAACCTCAACCGAAGCACGTTATCCAACGTCTACAGAAACCGATCAATATCAATCGCCTGAACACAACTATCAACAAACTTTGGACAAAAACTATCCATCCCCTCCACCAAACCAATACCAACCAGTTGATAACTATCCTTATCCTACACAAAATAACTACCAACAAGGAGCAGAACAGAGCTCTGAACTACCTTCTCAAACTAATAACCAATCGTATACTGGAGCCGAGTATCAAGTCCCGGACAACGACCCATTAAGTAAGGATAATCTCTATCCCTAATGTACCTAATAATATTTGTTTAAAATGTTTTTACTAACACGACTGTTCTTTATTCCAGTTAGATGTGAGGAGGATACCGACTGTCCACCAAACGCCGTCTGCTCCTACTTATCTGCGGACGCTTCAGGCGACTGGGAAGGAAAGCACTGCGTCTGTCCAGAAGGTTACGAAGGCGACGCTTTCGAATGCATAGAAAAAACTGGTCCTAACTGTGCCTGTGGACCTAACGCTCGCTGCATCACCACCCGCGGAGACGAATTTATCTGCGTGTGCGACCTCGGCTATCATGGCGATGGCTACTCCTGCCGGCCGAACTTCAGTTGCAAGAACAACTCTGACTGCGAATACAACGCAGAATGTCGACTCGACAATAAGAGCAACGAATATATCTGTCAATGTCTTAACGGCTACATCAAGGACCAGAATGACGCCTGCATTCCTGATGCCCAGCTCTGCAATGGGGCATGGTGTGCAGAGCACGCCTCCTGTCTTTATGATAACGAATTAGACCTAAACTACTGCCATTGTGACGACGGTTACTCTGGCGACGGCATTTCTCAATGCGTACCCGAGGGACACACGTGTGACGTAACCAATGACTGCAATGTAAACGCAATCTGCACGCCTATGGATAACTCTTATCAGTGCATTTGTAGAGACGGGTTCAATGGTGACGGATACTCTTGTATCCCCGAAGCCACATGCAGGAACAACCCGAACATGTGCGACTTACACGCCTCTTGTATGAAGCGGCACGATGCATACGTCTGTGAGTGTAATGCTGGATACAATGGAAATGGTAGTCACTGCCAGCTGAACCCGAGGCAGGCTGGGAACTTCTTGGTGGCTAGTGACGGAGCTTCCATCTACAGGGTACCATTCAAAGTTACTGGAAGAGATTTCGCGACGCCATTCAACAGTGGCATTTCGCAAATTGCTGTAGGAATTGATGTTGATTGCGAAGTCGGTAGAATATATTGGGGAGATGTTGTTAGTTATGCTATTAAAACTGCTGCTTATGACGGTAGCGACTATGGGCTGTTCTTGTCCGAAGGTAAGTCTAAAAAAGATAATGTTAAGTACCCTTATTCTCTATTAATCATACAAATATTAATTTGTGACCATTCTCATATATCATATTAAATTTCTTCTAGGTATCAAGTCGCCCGAAGGCATTGCGGTTGATTGGTCATCGAGAAACATATTCTGGACCGACTCTAGGAAACTGACGATCGAAGTAGCAAACTTGGACACGAAAGCGAGAAAAGTATTGTTCGCGATAGAGAACATATCAAACCCCAGAGGCATCGCCGTGCATCCAGGGAGAGGGTAAGAAACATCAATTTACCTCTAAATAAAATCTTAACCTTATAACACATAGGTACCTACCGAATCAAAAGTACTATTTGAGTGTACTGTGCAGCGATGATGGTTTTAATTCTAAGCTAAAATTATTGAACCACTCAGATATGGTACTTAAAGTTTAAAAAATGTGTGGTGCGGTTAAACTTGAGAGCAAAATAATATAGAATATCTACTACAAAATAACAAATACCTACAAAAATATTATTCTCTTATTAACAAATATTTACAGAAAAATCTTCTGGTCCGACTGGAAGCGTACAAACCCTAAGATTGAATGGGCGAGCATGGACGGCTCTCAACGAGGAGTCTTTTTGGATAAGACTGACGTAGCCTTGCCAAACTCTTTGGCCATCGACTGGGTGAGAGACAGACTGTGTTACGCTGATGCTGGTCGAGCGAGCATCGAATGCGTAACCATTGACAACCAAGAAAGGGAGACCATTGCTACCAACTGTTCCTACCCCTTCGGTCTCGCGATCCATGGCAATAAATTCTACTGGACTGATTGGAAAACGTGAGTAAAAATAGTCAACTATAAATTATGACCAACAATAAAATTGAGCGATCAAACCTTTAAAAAGAGAACTGGTATTTACTTACCTAATAATATAACGAACGAACAGCTAAATTAGCTTAATAATTACCTATTATGTTTAATGTCATAAATACTAGTGTAATTTGACGAAGAACCCGACTAGTTACAAGCCACGTTAGGGGCTCATATTCATAAGCATCTTGACAACGTAGGAAACAGAGTAACATGTATCAAGAGAGTAACAATATTATTGAAAATCCATCTAATGCACTTCTAAAAACATCCACACAATAAATCTCCATTTACATTACAGATTAAGAATCGAGTCCTACGATTTGGACACGCAACAACGAAGCGATGTTCCGATAGCAACCGCATCAAGGAGACTGTACGGAGTGGCTGTGGCGCCAGACTCTTGTCCACCGTCCCAAAGTGTCTGCTTCTATAGAAACGGGGGCTGCGGGCCAGACCAACTGTGTCTGCCAGACGGGAACAACGACAGAACATGTGCCGACGCAGACAAAGTTCTTAGCAGGCGTTAAATAGGATAAGTCGACGTTTAAGATAAAACTAAACAAACTAAATTACAGATTTATTGATTAAATCGATTTACTATAGTCAGTTAAACAAAAAGATATTTGCATTTATTCAAAACTTATGCTCAGTTTAGTCTTTATAATTTACGAGAAAAAATGTAAAAGATAATACCATATTTTTGTGCCATGCTATCTACATAACTCGATGGCTGAAAAGGAATAACTATGACATAAACTTTTATTACTTATTGAGAATGTTTAAAGAATCTCGAAGAAGGTGACTTACAAAAATATACGAAGTTCTACTAAGATCTACCAAGTCATGTATGTGGTTGCCAAAACTATGACCAAAGAAAAATATAAGTAAGTAATTAATATTGCCTTTCAGTTGAATAATTTCAAAACCTACTTTACTGGGAAATTATGAAACAATACTGTGGATCTAAGTCAATTGTAGTAAATGCAACAATAAAGAACTGATAATGGTTTCATAACTTCAAAATAACTTTTATAAGGCACTAGTTTAACTAACCAAAACTAACTAAGATTGTCTAACCACTAAATATACCTCCCGCCTAATTTTAACGTTCATTTATAAATAAATAGTTATTTTCGAAAAAAGAACTTTATATGGCAGGGTTAAGTAAATAATACTTACATAATAAATAATGTACCCATTTTATTTTGTTCCTACTATAACCAAAGCGTTAGAATAAAATAATAAATATAAAATACTTTTATTAAGATCTTTAATGTACTTCAATCAATGTAATTTATTATTGCCAAATCAATAAAGTTATTTATTTATACAAACACTTTTATTGGTCTCATTGCACACTTGCGTATTAAAAAATAATTACTGGAATCAACTTTATCTTATATTTGAGTAATAATAATTATGTAAAATACACTAAAAACTTTACCTATGATTTTAAAGTAGTTATAATTTATTCTAGACAATATAAATCCTTTGATAATTATGCCTAGTCACAATCATGGGAGCAGCTTAGCTAATCTCAATCTGTAAGCGTTGTAAGCAAAATTACATAGAATAAGCACTTATTCCATAAGGAGAAGAAATAATTTTGAAAAAAGTTTTTGTGACATTTTTAAAACTAAGTTATTTAAGCAAAAACGTGGAAAGTAATATACACAATCGTAACTAGACATGTCAATCATGGAAAAGGTACGAGATTACTGGATTACCCCCACAAGTCTTCAGTACGGCCAAACTTAAATACAAGCGAGCCGGCAAAGATGAACGCGTTCTGCATGAACAAGCTCACACCAGGCCATGCTGACTTGCTACTTCCTGGAAACAAAATAAAATACTTTTAATACAGCATGAAGAGTTTAATGCATGTGCATAAAGAGATAGGTTTGCTACAATTGTGTCATTTGGTATTCTATTGTGTCTTCTTATTCCAATGTAAGACTGTTGTAATGCTGTATTTATGATGTAAAATATACCTACTTATAAGGTTTATTTTACACTTATTTTATGTCACTTTTTACATGTCACCTTACCAAACTGACATTTATATTCACTGTTATTTGTTGTTCAATTAAATTATGAATTCATCTGTCAGTAATTATGATCAGGCAGAAAAACTAGATTTAGTTAATGTCATACTTAATAATAAACATACAAGCAACAGAAAAAATATGTGATAACAAAACAATGTAGAAATGCACTTACCAGCATTAACATAGTTTGCAAACAGTATCCAGCAGGCAGCAATTAAAGAAGCAAATCCAACAACGAAACCGAGGAAGAGCCAGAGACGAGCACCGCGGGGCCCCATGCAACCTCCTGTGTATGTCTCACCACGGACCTGGAAAAACATAGTTTACAAGATAAAATTACATTACCTCACTACAAAATAAATCTCCCGAGTTTAGATTTGAAATACAAATGAAATACCAAACCATCATAAAGAGACTAGGTATACAAAGGACATCAGGCTATTAACATATGTGAATATTTTCTTTCAGTCATCGCCAGTTATTCTTTTTTTTACTTATTTGATTGCCAACAAAATTTTCATATTGGTTTAACTTTTAGCTCTATTCCTTTAAAGAAGGCTGTCTATTAGAGATAGCACATGGCTACAAGGCATTGAATGCTGCCAATAATGTAGATACACTTTACAACTGCAAATAAAAGATAAATATACTAAAAATTGAGAAACAAGAAGATCTTTTATCTTCTTTTATAATCTACCTTCATATTTTTGACAAATTATTAAATAATTTTACTATCTGCAGACACAACACAAAGACAGACAAGTGATTCAATTTAGATTTAGATAATAAAGAATGGAGTTCTTTGTTTAAAATTTTGATAACAATGACCTTTATGTATTTACAAGAAAGCATTCCAATTTGTTTTGCCTATGAATTTGAATACACAAAGGACAGCCAGAGATTCAGAGGCAAGCAATATTGCCTTGATACCTCAAATTCAACCATTCCTGTTTTGCTTTTTTTTTAAATACAATTTTTTACACACACATGACACCCAGACCTGGAACAACAATTTGTGGATCACACAGAGAGTTGTTCCTCATTGCACAGCAGCCAGTTGCCCAGCCACCGCACCAACCATACAGTCTTTTACATGTTGAACTTCAAGTAAAGTGAGTTTATGTTATAGCCTGGCAAACAAGAGGACAGCTGATCATCTAGCAGTAAACGGGTGATTCTTCACATCAATTAAAATTTAATAATGTCATTATCCTCAACCGAAAATTAACGAGTCTGCTGATTAAAACCCAGATAATTATTTTATTAAATTAAATCTCACCACTGCTTACAAGCAACCGATTAAAAATATTGTATAAAATAAATTACTAAGATGCTTAAAAGCCTGGGAGGATAATGACTTGTTAAATAAAAGTAAAGGTTTTTTGCAGAATGACCCATTAACACCTATAGAGACTCATAACACCACAGAATTTGCAAAAGGGGTTGCCGGCCATTTATTGGTTATATGGGATAAGGTTGATTGGGGATTGAGGGTGGGAGAAGGATAGGATGGAATGTTTGCGAAAGTTTTCGAAAAAAATTCTAAATACTCCTATTTCCTTTTCTCAACCATCTATGCATTTACGCTTTGTTAAGTCAAAGCATATAAGTGTGTAAAGGTATACTAGCTGATGATAAGTCTCATGCAAGTCCTTTGAGTATAACAATTTATTAACACAAACACAAACAACATTTTTGTCTTATAAGAATTGTATCTTATTTTATTGGTTCTAGAACCTTTTAGACAGAAACTACTTTCCCTTTGTAAGAGCTAAAATAAAACCCTCAAAAGCTTATCTAAGTGGTGTCACTGACCTGTGCATTTGACACAGAGTTGACCATGATGAGTGACAGTGTAGCCATCACACCACACACATGAGATGCATTGGGCAAGTTCCCAGGGTACACTGATGCAGCATCTATGATAAACCACCAACCTGTAAAGAACTGAAGAAAAAATATAACTTAACACAAATTAAAATTGCTATTTTTCAATATTCATTGTCAATGTAACTCATCCATAATATTATTCAGAAACAAAATGTTGCTCCAGTTCGTACCTAGTAGTTTCACAACAGACAAAAACCAGTAAGTAGAAGATTAATTATAAATAAGGTTATATGAAGGCTTCTTATGCATTCAAATCCTCAATATTCGCTATTTACATGTCATTCCAACTGTAATGAATAAAAATATAGCATGATTCATCAAATACAAACCAAAAGTCCTGATATTATAGATGCCACAATATTGCGCTTCTCTCCGCTTTCGAACCACACACAACTAGGCATAGTCAGATTCTCGAAACAACTCATGTTTTTAACTTATTCAAATTAGAATGAACAAGAGATAATGCTGAATTTTATTGTGGAAAACAAATCGTAGTTTATCAAAGTGAAAGAAGGTAAATAAAACTGACTGACAGACAACTGGCGACCAATGCGACCATTGACACTTTGACAGTACGAACAACGTTCCATTACTCGCAAATTGCCTACGTCATTTTGTAATTTATTTTGTAGGATAGAAAATTACTAAGAATTTCAACAGGATAACATTCCTAACGATCGGAAGACTAACTACAGTTAGTTACAGAATAACTGGCAAAAACTACCGATTTGAATACTTACTAAATGAGCAAAATAAACAAATTCATACCTTAGTAACTTACCTAAGTGATAATTAATCAAGGTTATCAAAGATCAGCACCAGGATGAAGCATGAGTTAAATAAGTAAATAATAAAGTAACTAGCCTCAATACCTTAATTGTAAGTCTTAATCACCTCAGAAAGCAATAGGTATATGGGTTTGGCAATTTTTAATCGTGCAATGCCTACTTACCAGAAATGCCTACTTAATTACAAAAATAATATTATGCAAGAGATGTTACACTGATCGATAAGCTTACAAACTATATAACACAAACACGCGTAACTCGTTAAACATTATTATTTTAAATTTTGGTTCCATAAAATAAAAGACGATGTCGCTAAAAATATTTTTTGTCTGCATTTCGACCATTTTGTTTGAGGTAATAATTTAATCATTTGATTTCAATTACGATCAGTCTTGTATTTGATTGCTAATTTATTTTTACAGGCGGTCTTCAGTGCGTGCATCCCTCCTCCATATCTTCGAGAACCAGTGTGTCCAAACACGCCAATTGTTGAAGGTTTGAATATGGCCACTGTAGCTCCAGTTGTACCGATATTTGGCCGTGTTATTGGAGGAAACCTGATCATAGACACTTCGGCTCCCTACACAGCCATAGGACCAGCAGGAGTGATGATATTCTCCGATAATCTGCTCATCGATGGTGTTGTTCTAGTGTCAGGGAGACTCCCTTTTCAAGGAACGGTTGGATTGGAAGGCTTGTTACCAACAAAAGGTATTGGTGCAGTGAACTATAGTAGTCGAAATAATAACATAGGATTTGTTCAAGAAAGTGTTCCTAATCAAGTGCCTGGAATGATGCCAAATGGTGCAGGGTACCCAGGTAATATTAATAATCTTGGTCTCGGTAGACTAAATTAGTTTTAATACTTATTAATTCATCAAACCAAGTGAACGCCGGCGTTCGCGCGCATGTTGTCCACTATTGTGTCTGGAATTACCACGATTGAAAGGTTAGGATGGTTGTAAATAAATTTGAAATGCGATAATGTTCTAGTTGTTTCATTTTGGAGCCCGAAATCCCTCACCAGTTAGGATAATAAGTAGTAGGTACATGCATATGCAGGACAAGTAAACTAAATAGTGTATTTGACGAAATAATGGGCAGGGTGAACAATCATTAATAAATATATATCGGAAGGGCCATGAGTCCTGGACACGGAATAGAAAATTTTCTTTTCTGTGGTCATGAATTTATTATGAAGCATGTCTATCTTTCCGAATGTACCTATACTTACTTCAACAGTTCATTGAACATAGAGCTGATATTCTGATCCTGGACTCCAAGCGAACAACTAGGTACTTGCTTACTCAGTAAACCGTCAATTGATTCCTGATCAGTGATTGCAATGATTAAAATCTTTTTTTTCATTTAGTGATCATATTGGTGAAGGTTGTTGTTTAACTCCTATACACATACGTAAATACGTACATAAACCTTTTTTTTGTGAGGGGAAAAGCATCAAATGACTTCTCCCGTCCAGGGTAGGGCGAGAGTGTCAGACTTACTGACTGAGTTGTAGACTACTGTAGTTACCTCGTCATTTTCGTCTCAATTTATCAAGACCAGTGTTTTAAACAGTGGGAAAGCCATGCTCCGGCACCAATAGGTCGGCTTGACCGGAGTGATACCACGGCCTCATAGAAAACCCGCGTGAAACAATCACAGTGTTGTGTGTTCACCGTGTGAGTGTGGTTACCAGAGGCCAAATTTTTCTCCTCCTCCGTTTGCCGTCGTACCTATCACATAAAAAAATTACCAAAAAGTTCTCAACAAAAAAAAAAACAACACAAATTTAATACTTTTATTACAAAAAAAAAATGTAAAGTTATTACAATATTATTATACCGATATAAACTCGTTCGTTTAAAATTATTACGAGACGTTACGTTAACCTAACAATGTGTAAATGAGTTGATCACAATGAGTAAGCTACCTCGTCGACCGGACGACAGAGATAAGCCGCGTTTCACTTGACAATTTCTTATTTGGTAACACAATACAAACGAAAATGTATTTTAGTGTCCCTTGGAGACCACTTCCTTAATGTACGATAACTTTTAAGCCAAATGCACCTTTATTTATACATAGAATACTTATTTTATAAGGCAACGTGTAAGAAACGTGTAAATAAAAAACGTGTAAATAAATAAAAATAATAAAAAAATAAGAACACGGATTATGTTTACAATGGAGTGCTAACATGTCTTTTCTCTTTAGAAATTCGCCCAAGGGTAGAGTAGTAGTGCACATTTTTAATATGACAACCACAATCAAGTTATTTCCTTTATAAAAGGGACAATACGGTAGTTTCCAACTAGTCAAATTCAATACTTTTATCAAAATGTCAAAAACGATAATTTTCTATGTTTTTATGAAACTCGAAATTCTATAATCGAAATTATAATTTCGAGTTTCATACAAACATATTATATATTTAGTATTTTTACGTCAAATAGCTCACTTATTTCTTAAAAACTTGGTAAAAAATTTTTGTGTATCGACAGATCGACGAATAAAAGTAGTAAAGTTATTTTTCAATACTTTATTTTATTGAAACGTCGGATTTATTTATTTTTGACCTAGAAAACTACCCAATTCTCATACACCAAACACAAATCACAAGGAATGCAAGGCACTCAAAGTATTTTTACCTAATTGACGAGTATTACCAAGTTTGTCTAATGAAATTATTGCGTAGCTGTCGGTACGTGACTGCAGCTGTTATTATGCCAAGTACTAGATAAGTGGGATTGTGACACTCGGTACGGTGTCACAAGTCACAACAAATGTGTTTTATTATGTCACACTTAGCAGTATCCCTCGTTCTGGTAGCACCATTCCGGCTCCAAGGAGTCAGCTTGAATACCCATGCGAACTAAACGTTCTCTGTTGAAAGAAAAAGACTTTTTATTAAAAAAAATGTTTAATTTGTCAAAAAATTACTAAAGAAGTTTTGTGTAGGTAGTCGGGAAGTAGCAGCGGGGCTGAAAGCAGGTAGAATTAGCTCTTTTTGCCATTTAATTCACAACTATTATTTTTTTTATTTTTAACGTTGTCACACAGTAAATATTCGTCACAGTCAGACCTACAATTACCACAAGAATTGTCCTGTGTGGAAATCGAACGCGCGCAGCGTTATGCGGAGTTGGTTATCAACTAAATTTTCTGTTCTGTGGTTATCCAACTACCACGTTTACAGTGCAGTGCACATGTATGTAGGTATGTATTATGAATATGTAACAATTGTAGATGCAGCATTATTGGCTAAAACTAGTAACGCGGCTTACGGTTGACCTAATGGTAAGCGAAAACTGTTAAATTAGGTATCTATACTTAACTCTTTTTGTCCAAAATTTATTATTTCGACTTTGTAATGTAATAAAATATTCCTTACACTAGTTATATCGCTGTTATTCATTGTTTTTACGATATCATTAATTTAACAATTTTTTATTTAATTTTTGATAGAGCAGGCGTTATCAGTTCATCACTACGTACACACAGAAGTGTTTGGAAGTGGTTGGTGCGGTGGCTGGGCTTGTTCGATTCCCGCACGGAATAACTCTTTATGTGATTTACAAATTGTTGTTCCGGGTCGGGGTGTCATGTGTATGTGAAATTATATATTTTTAACCACACACAGGAGAAAATACTGGTGAAGAAAAGAAAGAAGACAAGATTTTGACAATGGGAAATAAGGATTGAAACTATACCTACTTACTTTTGAACTTTCGCGTTTTATATTTACGACATAAATTACGCGGGTATTAACGCGAAAAATAATAGCAGACTCTTCGTCTGCTTGTGACCACGACCTGTGCAACCAGGTCGAAACGTCAAGCCTACCAAGGTATTTAGATAATTATTTTTCGCGTTAATACCTGCGTAATAATAATGTTGTAAAAAACGGATTGAAACTATTAAATTAAAGAAAGTTAAGAATTGGCATAGGTATTTCAAGTGTATGGAGAATGGTTGGAGTAGGTGTATGAGCACAACTGACCGTATATGCAGCATGCGATGCTCGGCGTGCCGCCATGCGGAGCGCGGCTCGGCCCACAGGCGCTCGGCCAGCGCGGCGGCGCGCGGCCACAGCCGGGACTCCAGCGTCGACGAGTCCGACTGCTCCGACCATAGCGCCGCCTCGCCACCTACCCACGGGAATATTATTATCATAACATGATCTTGGGCGTCGAGTGCTCACAAAAACTGTATCTCGAGTAAACAAAGCGTTCTTAGTGCACTATAGTCAAGGCTAGAAGGTAAGGCTTGAACCCTAATACATTAAACTCATTCATTACGCTACAAAACTCAACACTGTTATTGCATTTTGCCGGTTTCATGTGAAGTTGTATCGCTTCGAGCCGGCTTATTCCTTTCAAAGCATGACTCTTCCACACATAAAGCTGAAATTTCGTCAGTTGTGATATTTGTGATTACGTGTGGGAGAGCCAAGCTTCAGGACGAATGGCATGGAAATCACCACACGCGTTGTGTTTCGCCGTATGTACGAGGTTACTGGAAGCCCAATCCCTTCCTCTCCCCCATCTCTTCCCAATCCTTAAATATCCGACCCCCTATCCCTAAAAAGCTAGCATCGCACTCATAACTCCTTTAGTGTTACGGGTGTCAATGGGAGGCGCCGATTGCTTACCATCAGGTAATCCGTATGCTCGTTAGCCGCCCTATAACACGAAAAAAAATGCACTTACCAAGAATCAAATGCTTGTGTTCTCCAGCGATTTCAGTGGGACTGTTGTCGTACACCTTTTGCCAGCCGATGTATGGGGAACACCAGTTGTTACCTGCGTAGAAAGCATGGAATTTAATTCTAAAATAATTCAGTAGGAGTATTATAATAGACTGACTGAATCAATTTCAATAGATAAAATACAACTGATATTTTCTTTTTTTTTTAAAAAAACTTTGCCCTACGTCTGGGTTTTCTCCTGTGTCACAGGTGCGTTTACAATTATAAAATTTGACATACACATGACGCCCAGACCCAGAACAACAATTTGTGAATCATACAAAAAATTCTCCCGTGGGGGAATCACAGCCGCAACACGTGGCACGGCAGCCCCGTGCCTAGCCACCGCGTCAACTGTGCAACTCAATCTATGGATCTCCATATTTTTTATGGGAAGACATTTGGCCTCTGTCGTGCCTGGTGGTAAACGATGACGCGACATATATGGAGCACGTGTATCCATTCATTCCCACGGGCCTTGAATACACCCAGGTAATAATAGGTCCTAGCTATGAAATTGCCGTTTGGCATGAAAAAATTTAAACGATTTTTTTGATTTGAAATGTGATGCAAATGTAACACTAATCAATAAACAAATGACTACTTTTGGAAAAAGAATCCCATGTTTTTAAAACAAAATTAATTAGCCTTACAAAAAGCTATTTTGATTTGAAATGGCCAGTACAGCAGAACGGCAATTTCATAGGTAAAGATCTATTATATACCCTTCGGGGAACACAGACTCCGGCAAAGAATTCCATTCCTTAGGAGTTCTATTAAGATACAATTAAAAATAGAAAGTAATCTTTAATCCAAAATTCTAACTTGGGTACTATAAAGGTTTTGTTCTGGGTTATTACTGGATCAAAACTGCATAGTCCAAGTAGTCGGAATTTACGTTTAGAACCAGGAGAAAAAATATAATAATTTGGTTGGGAGGTAGTAGGGTTGATAGGGTTGGTAGGGTTGGTAGAGTAGGGTGGGTAGGATAGGGTAGAGTAGGTAGTCAAATGACGGGAGCGAAGCCGCTGGTAGAAACTAGTCTATACTAATATTATAAAGAGGTAAAATTTGTAAGTTTGTATGTAGGGGGTAATCTTTGGAACCGCTGGTCAGATTTCCAAAATTCTTTCACTGATAGATAGCTAAAATATTCCTGAGTGCTGTGGCTATAAAACATCACGCTACAATCTGAAGGAGCTGAGCAGCGGGCGAAACCGCGCGAGAGTAGCTAGTTATTTATAAATTAAATTGTTGTGTTACCGAGTTGATGATAAGTTCATGAATCCAATTTCAGTAGGTATACATATTATACACAGTGTTTTATGACTGCTGACATATCTCGTCTACGAGCAAAAATTTTATTTAAAAATGTATACTGTTAAGGTAATGTGTAAATATTGTATTTTGACTGGTAAAATATCTATTCTCAGATCTGTAACTTTATTTAAAAACGCATAGATACCAAAATGTTGTATGGCTATCAAGTAAAACAAAAAGTCTGTATAACCGTTGTAATATTAATCCCTTTACCGATTTGGTTAATTTTGTTCTTGAATTATTCATGGAAGTCCAGAGAAGGTTCGAAGGCAGAGAAAATTTAAAAAAAATACTTAAAAAAAAGTAAAAGCGACATCCACGCGGGCGACGTCTATTTACGTATATACATATACCTACTACAGCTTTGTTCACCAAATAAAGTGATTTGAGACAACATACCTTCACCAATCCAGGATCCGAATCCACAGTCAAAGTACAAAGCATCGTAGTTAGACATGATGAGTCTGTAGCCCTTCTCCAAAAGGCCTTTAACTTGAGGATCCACTCCAGTTGTCCATACCTGAAGCATGAGGTATCAGCACTTGAGTACTTAACATCATTATTAAAATTATACATCGTCATTATCAGCCTATAAATTAAAACGCAGTGGAGAGTGCAAACATAAGATATTGTCCCCATAGTCCTTTCTACCACCGGTATTATACCGAAGTCCCTCACACAAAGCGCTTCCGCTATGTTTGCTGAGGCGCAAACCGATGATTTCGCAATAATTAGAAAAAGGTGCGCCTAACGTGTGCGTGGCAGCCCGAATGGTATTCTGAGCACATTGTCACAGCGGTGGGACTCACCAATGCTAATGAGGTGGATGCGATTGCACGCCAGCCGTCCCTCATGTTTATAATTTATTTACACTTGACTTGTTTAATTTATTAAATTTATTAATAATATTTATTATTAAATTTCTATATTTTTTTATATAAAATCGGTTTGTCAATTTCTCTTTGTATATTATTTGACTTGAATTCACTTATATTTAATGTAATCTATGTAATGTAATGTAATTTTATGGATTTTTATTATCTGAAAGAAATTTAATTGAATTGAAAGCATTAACACTCTGCAAATGCCTGCATACACTCTCCACACGCTACCATTCTCAACACTTGTCGCATCACCCGAAAATTCTTAACTTCATAGAGGTACTTTATCATCTACTTAATCTATTTAACCTTCCCCATATACACTTGGGCCCGGCCCGTGTATAAGGTTTCTTAAACTCTCGTATGAGAAGAAAAATAAAATGGATAAATAAATAATAAAGGGTCGAATCACAAATCATACAAACAAGCTAGCAGTAAACCTGATGGACACCCAAACAGTCGCTAGGAGACTGAAGAAAAAGATACCACAAGACCTCATTTAGGAGGCTATATCAATAATCGGGGCAGTCATTGGATAACCTGCGTGCAAATCTATTAAACTCTCAAAAAAAAATGCTGAATATCTGCATGATAGATCGCAATTATATTAATAAAAAAAAAATAAAAAAAAACTTGGTTAATTCGACAAACCTGTATAATGTAGTCGTCCTTGTCTAGATACTGGTCGACTGTGTTGAAGTCTGTCAACGTGCTCGTCCACAGGATTAGGGGCAGTTTCTTTCCGAATGCCTAGAATCAAACAAAAAATTTCATCAGATATCCATGAAACATTGTTATTAGGTACATACTAAATATGTGCCCCTAAATTAATACGTACATTTAAAAGAAAGTCTTGTTAGTTACACTATTAGAAACTCAAAAACAGCTGAACCAAACCTATATGAAATTTTTTGAATTGTTGCAGATTTAATCGGGAAATAACAAACAATTCGATGCTATAACGGTTTGCTTGAAGTGTATGTAAGTTCCCTAACAATAAATAACTTAGTGAGTACGCTCCTTTAGAATATAAGTATCGTTTTGAAAAGACCCTTGAACCCCCAACATTTCATGCTAACAAGACAAATTGGCTTGGCAACTGGCTGCTGAACAACGTGTCGCGGGTTCGATTCCCGCACGAAACGACACTTAGTGTAATCCACAAATTATTGTTTCGGGTCTGAGTGGCTTGTGTTTGTGACTTTGTCTGTTTGTAAACGGTACCACGACACAGGTGACCAAAATTAAGTGCGGGGAAACGTTTCTTTAAAAAAATGACACTGATGCAGTTGAACATCTGTACAAAGTCGCTAGTGTTAAATATTTTACTAAATTAATGAACTGACTAGTACCGAACTATATAGATTTATTTTTTACCTTAGTAGCCTTGTCCTGAGCCTTCTTCTGGAAGTAGTTCCAAAGTTTCAAGAAGCCGGAGGTATTCACATCCCACCTGTTTTGGATCATGAAGTTCTGGATTTCTTCCGAGGTGCTCCAACACTTCTCACTGACCTCATCACCTCCCATGTGGAACATATCTGTCTGGAATGAACCTGAAAATAAAAAAGGGCTTGAAAATAGAGCAAATTAAGCGAGGCACTTGAACAAGGAAATATCACAGTGCTCTCTTATCTTTATACACATATATATATATAAAAATGGATCGCAAAATGTGTTGATAAGCGCATAACCAATTTTGCTAATTCTTTTTTTGTTGTGTTAGTTATAGTCAGAAGAAGGTTCTTATCAAAGAAAATATTAGAAAAGTAGAGGGGAAGCTTAGGAAAAAGTGACCCGTGAAAGTGAAAAGCGAGATATTTGGACGGCCGCTAGTAAATATTATAAATGCGAAAGTTACGATGTTTGTATATTTGTTACTCAATCACGCCAAAACGGCTGGCCGGATCAGGACGAAATTTGGCTTAGAATATCTCTTTTTACCAACATACCACGCGGGTGAAGCCGCAGGCGAAAGCTAGTACTATATAAATCACACTTTTCAGTGCCCACTCACTCGAAATAAATTTGATCATTAATCAACACGATTGCTCAAGGCGAATTGGCGATTTCAAACTTACAGTAATAAATAAATAAGTCCAGGTTTCCTCACTGTATGTCATTGGTATCTAAATAATCATAGAAAGTACATAGAACTTTGAAAAAGTCACATTGGTACTCTCCAGGTTTCGAATCCATGTATGAGAAGCGAGTGCCTTAACCTCCGGGCCACTACGTAGTTTGCCCGTACCATTCTATTCAACCCGGTGCCTTTAATGTTTGATGTAGCGACAAGCAAGCAGACAGATCACCCGATTCTAAGTGATCGGTGCTATCTATGGACATCCCCAACTCTAGAAAAATTGCTGGCTTAAAGTTGCATTGCCAGTATAAGAACGAGAGGATTCGACCTTTAAGTAGCCTTGCACAGTCATCGAACCGCAAGCTTTTTTTGCCGGGGTCACGGGTAAAGCGCGATAAGGTACGGCCTGGAGAAGGGACGAGGAGGTGTTTTGTAAGTAAGAATCTGACACTCCCTCATGCCATACCAGGGGTGATAGATGGCATTTGATGATGTTTTCCTCTACAAAAAGAAGCATTTTTTTACTATGGTATCCCGTGGTACTATGGTATCTCTGCAGGCGGCCCATCCATGACGAAAAATGGCTCTATCAAGTATCCTGAATATCTTAAGAACTTACCAGCCATTTCCGTGTAGATGTCTTCAAGATAGTCATATAACTCCTCGCGAGTCGGGTTCAGTTGTCCACAAGGAGGCTCCACGCAGTGTTCCCGCCATGGTTCAGCCTTGAAATAAAATTGAGGAAATTTTTTAGACTTATAAATTTATAGATAGATACAAACTCCAAATAATTCTACAAAGTTTGTTAGTGTAATGCATGGAAGATAGCAGTCACTCATTTCAGTGAAAACTGAACGGATCTAGGTGAAATTGGGCACAGAGGTAGATTATGGTTTGAAGTGACACAAAGGCTTTTTACTACATTGCATGCGAAACCATTGGCAGAAGTTAGTATTAAGTATACAGACCATCCTCAAAACAAAGGTTTTTTTTTACTTCCATATACAATAAGTCATGACTCATGATTTTAATGTCACATGTCTAGAGCCTTCCAATCACAATGTCAGCTTTGTGATTATAAATTCACATAATAAAGTATGGGAGGGCCAAGCTACGGCACGAAAGGTCGGCTCGACCGGAATGATATCACGGCCTCACAGAAAACCGGCGTAAAACAACCACAGCGTTGTGTTTCGCCGTGTGAGTGAGGTTACCGGAGGCCCAATCCTTCCCCGCCCCCAATCCCTCCTCAATCCCTAAATCTCCAAATCCCTAATCACTAAAAGGTCGGCAACGCACTCATAACTACTCCGTTGCGGGTGTCCATGGGCGGCGCTGATTGCTTACCATCAGGTAATCCGTCTGCCCGCTTGCCGACCAATTGCATAAAAAAAAACAACTACCGCAGCGTTGTGTTTCGCCGTGTGAGTGAGTTAGTTCCCAATCCTTATACATATATCTGAATCCCTTATCCCCAAAAGGCTGACTCTCGACTCCGTAACGTAACTCCTTTGACGCTACGGGTGTGCATGGGTGCTGATTGCTTTCCATCACACATAAAAACAGAATAACAAAAACCTACTTAGTTAGGTTCGCAAACCAAAACAAGGAAACTTTTTATAGGCATTTACATAAAGATTTTAGTATGTTAAGATGCGTTGAACTTGGTAGTTCGTCTTTCGAATACGTTATGAAGTCAGAGACCTCGGTGGATACAACGGCACTTTTATAACTGTATGTTAGTCTGAATATAGATATTTGTTATGAGATACATCGGCAATCGAATGGATTACCCTGGGCCTCGAGTCTGCTATTACAATAGTGTCAGAATAGTAGATCATTGGTTTCAAAATTGTTGATTTTGACAAGTTTGGTAATCTACTAACACGATAGCGTCATTATGACTTTCCAATGCCACTTCATTGAAATAATTCTTTAGAACGGTAATCTCGTACATAATGACAAATGAATATTTAACAAAATGCGGTAAATTAATAAAAAAATGTCAGTTCCTTTATTCAATGATTTACGTTTAGAATATTAATGTGCAGTTATCGTTTATAATTCGTTACAAGACATCTCGTACTATAATTCTATTACGACATCGCCGACCGCCAATGATCAGTCATTTTGAATTAACAGATTACAAACTTTTAGCAAAATGACAATGGGATCGTGTAGGAATGACATCACTTTGAAAATAGTAGACTCGGGGCCCTGGTAGTAAGCAAATGCTATAATGGTCACTTGCATCACTAAATAAGTGACAACTGGCCTTGTGTTTGTTTTTTAGAAATTGAGGATCCTCCCTGGTCTCCAGACCAGGGCAATTTTTTTAAACGTCACTAGGAGTTTCTCCTGTGCCGTGGGTGCGTTTACAGACATACAATTTCACATACATTTTACACCCAGACCCGGAATAACAATTTGTGGATCACACAAAGAGTTGTTCCGTGCGGGAATCATACTCGCGACACGTTGCGCGGCTGCCAGTTGCCCAGCAATCGCGCCAACCGTGAAGAATTGGGGATGGATGAGGGGAGAGTTTTCTCTATCGGCAAGTTATTGGAGGAAGCCTATGCGTAGGTATTAGTCTTATAGCTTTGGTTACAATTGTGTATGATAAAACTAGTACTAAAACATGCACGGAATCGATATTTATTTTAATTTCTTTCGTGTATCAAATTACTGTGCAGACTAAGACTGTAGCTATTTAACTGCATTGGACGGATGATTTATTATAAACAAACATTAGGGTCAATTCACACCGATACGCGACGCGTCGCACGCATATCCTCTCAGAGGATACTATAGAAGTGAACACAACGCATGGAATGTGTACCTTGTCGTGTACAATATAAAGTTGTTTTTTGAATCGATATTCCAAAGTGTTCATGTAATGTCGAGTCGCGTCGCGTTTTTTTTTTTACAAAACGTTTCCCCCTCTAGGTTTTTCTGCACGGCTGCTTGTTGTAGTTGCCTAGCTACCGCACCAACCGTGCATCGTTTTGGTTTAAACTGACCCTTAGGTACTACAAAAGTTATTTGTGTAAATATATTATCAACTCCACCGAAGATACTATATAGATATGACTAATTAACATTATTAATCACAAAAATATTGTAATACTGACTTAACTGTATGCTTCTATACTTCTAGCATTAAGTCCTCCGATATGCAATTGTATAAAGAATAAATAAATAAATAAATAAATAAAAACTGTACGTAAAGAGAAGATAAATACAAAATATGTAATAAGTGAAACTAATTAGGTATGGCTTACGTTGAAACAGACGGTAAGGTTGGTATCCTGCCAGCCCTCGCCGACGTGCGCCGGCGCATCGAACTCTGGCAAGACTCGCACACCACGAACCAGGGCGTACTCCACCAATTCTTGTATGGCTTCCTTTGTGTACACCTGTAATTAACCGGCGACATCCATACAACGAAATTAACTTATGTATTCTGACGTCTTAAACCTTCACGGCTTTCATTAATATTTCAAGATTAAAAATTGCTAAATCGGTCCAGCCGTTCTGGAGTACCTAGCAGGACTAAGGAACAAAATTCAATTTTAAACATAACGTTACCGTGTAGTTGATAAAAATATCAAAATAAAATTATGATCCCAAATAGATTATAAATATAATGAGAATTTATGATTAAAAGATTTTCGTATGCCAACTTTGCTTCACAAAGAGGTTCGAATTATCCCAAGCCATATTTATGGTCATACAAAATACGAATATATTATTTAATTGGCTTTTTCGCATTTAGGTATGTGAGTAATCATGAAAACTAAACTAGAAGCACTTCTTTCAAAACAAAACAAATTTCACCAATCCATATAAAGAACTCTCACCTTAGCTGGGGAGTAGGCTCCGATTTTGGACAGTTGAGGCCTCTTGCTAACTTGGAAGGGGAAGCTCTGACTGTCGGTGATGTGCCAGTGGAAGGTGTTCAGCTTCACGGCAGCCATCGCATCTGGAGAACATAGTTATTCATATAAAAGTAGGTTTCACTATATTCTCATCATCGTATTTTTCTTCTATCTCAATTAAAGTGTATAAGTAATATTATTTGTATAAAAAAACATTAAAATCCTTCTTAAAATTACATCTTTCCATACGAAACCTCGTGTGTCGGAATAAAAAAAATCAATATGCTCCTCACGAATAAGTGCCCTAACTGGCCAACCAACCCTTTTTTTGATGGGCTAAGTCAGCAAACAAGCAGACGGATTACCTGATGGTAAGCAATCAGCGTCGCCCATGGACAGCCGTAACATCAAAGGCGTTATGGAGTGGGGAAAATCATCATTTGATGATCTCTCAAAAAACAAAATGTATTTCATAAATACCTACAGACAACCGCAGTTAGAACCTTCACCAATATTCTTACATAACACCTTTCAAAACAATCAATTACCTTGCATAGGAAGGGAAATAGTTCCCAGAACAGATTCACCTTATTGCCATGACTAACGCCGAGTTTATTTTAAATAGTCATAGTTAATTTTGTGTGTGATAGAGCCAAGCTTCAACGGCTTTACGGAAAACTGACGTGAAACAACTGTATTATATTTCATGGTGTGACTGAGGGAAGCGGAGTCCCAGTTCAGGAGTTCCCCTTTCCCCAATCCTCAAAACCCCAAAAAGGCGGTAGAGAGGATTTACAGGTTCTCGTCTAGTGTTGCGTGTATTCATGGATGGCGCCGATTGCTTACCATCAGATAATCCTTCGCCGACATAATCCATTGTCAGTTCAGTTAAGTACCTATAATTTTAATAATTATAAGTGAAAGTAGTTTGCATAAGGCAATAGTTTGCATGATGGAGTTGGCGTATTCATTAGGATAAACACTAAAATTAAAATTTAATTACAAAATAATAAATATGTAAGTGTAGTAGCTACAATTACAATTCAAAAAACACATAATACAACCCATTAATAATCTTTATATATAAAAATGGATCGCAAAATGTGTTGGTAAGCGCATAACTCAACAACGCCTGGACCAATTTTGCTAATTCTTTTTTTGTTGTGTTTGTTATTGTCAGGAGAAGGTTCTTATCAAGAAAATATTGGAAAAGTAGAGAGGAAGATTAGGAAAAAGTGACCCTTTGATAGCGATATAGTTGGACCCGTGCGAAGCGGGGGCGGGCCGCTAGTATTCTATAAATACTGTGCAGATATTTTATATAAGAAGGCCATCAAAAGTAGGTAGTAAGCTTAACAGCGTATGTCAAACGTTTATTAACAAAAATAAAACATACAATCTAAAGTCAAGCATTAAGTTCGAAAAAGCTATAAGGATTCTGAGGTAAGTATTTTAGGGACCGAAAATGTGTCTTTATATTAGAGATATATAAATAAATAAAAAATGTATTAAAGGGATCGAAAAGCCGTAAGGTTAAGTTAAGGTAATTATGACGATCCTTAATTTGCACTCCTCAGATCCAAATTCAAAATTACGATCAACATTTTAACCATGTTTTCAAAGAATAATTTAAATAGTGTAATGTCTTTTTATCAAGCGCATCCTGGTTGTTTCTATTAGATATCGCATTTGATTATATAGAACTCTGATTAAGATAGAGTTTTTGGAAACATTTTTCCTTAAAACAATTAGGGCTATTGTATGACGTTATACAAGGTAATTTACATCATTTTCCTTCTACGAGTACCTTATGCCTTACAAATAAACCAACATAACGAATCTTTTAAATTTCGTAGGCAATTAAATAAATTTTCCCACATTTTTTCCACGATCTCTAGTACTGTCATTCACACAAAACTTTCCACTGGTAATCAATTATTCGAATACCATGTGTAAATTCATTCATCCGTTTTGTAGTACGTCAATTTCGTCAAATGGCTATTATACGGGATCAAACTTACAAATAGCTATTTTGTCAGTGTGTACCTTCATTTGCAGGGTAGGTACTTTATTTCATAAATCATTACTTAACCGATGAACGTTAGAACTTCTTGAAATACTTAATTCTTCTGGACCAGTGGGAGACAAAGCGTATCACTATCAGAACGTTTCTCTCCACTTAAAAAAATATCCCGACGAATCGAGAACCTCCTCCTTTTTTTGAAGTCGGTTAATAAATACAATAACACGACACTTCGCCCGATCTTAAGACTTTCGCAAATTATACATACGAGACAAAGTTTTTAGGAAAGTAATATATTTACCGATGGTAGCTTTGATGGCGTCGATTGAGTAGAAGTTTCGCGCCGTGTCAAGGAGGACCCCTCGGTACGGGTACGCGGGCTTGTCACTGATGGTCACATCGCGAACAATCTGGAAGGGAAACATATATTTGTAAATTCGGATATAGAAAATGAACACAGAGTTCCTTTTTTGAAAAAAAAATCTTCGAAAAAGGAACTATGTAGATCGAATAAGTCGAGAAGTTTCACATTATTGGATAAGAATCAACTTTATTAAAATTTCATTAACTTGAGAATATTGTTGCTTGATGCTTCTTAGCCTATTTTTGTTTTAGTGCGCAAGATCGACTTCTGTTTATAGCATTAGTTTTTCGAAACTTATAAAATAAGTATAGATACCAAGTTACGTACTACATTTATAATAAATATATCAAAATAATGTGTATGGTATTTTTTTACGGGATACGCATTCAGTCAGTAATTTTGTTATAGTAAAATTAAATACTTATAAAACAGTCCAGTAAACAGAGTAGATATATAAAAAAGTTCCTTTGGGAAAGTTTAGCTTTGAGTTGTTATTATCATAAGTACAATAACGTGTTTAAAATAATATCGGTCACTAATTACTAGTCTCCTATACCTATATATAACGCTGCGTGTCTAAATAAACGCAATATTTGAGAGCCACTGGGAGGTATTCCTCGTAGCGCTCCCGTTTTGAAACGCTCCCATCTAAGCGCTCCCAAAAGGAGCGCTTCGAGGAATGATTAAAAATATTAAAATTTATTTCCTCGAAGCGCTCCCACGTTTAAAAATAGGGAAAAGCATGAAGTAAACGTAAAATAAGTATATCTATGCGTCTTATTTATAACATCTTCTTTGAATACACAATAACATTGGTCCTTGTATACACATACGAGTGCCGAAAGCAAAAATATATTATTCTCTCGATTTCGTAATTTGGTTAAGCAACTTCGATGTCGATGATGCACACATGAGTTTTTAAAAATTATCGATATAATTCATTACGTTTACTTCATGCTTTTCCCTATTTTTAAACGTGGAAGCGCTTCGAGGATATAAATATTAATATTTTTAATCGTTCCTCGAAGCGCTCCTTTTGGGAGCGCTTAGAGGAATAAAACGGGATCGCTTAGATGGGAGCGTTTCAAAACGGGAGCGCTACGAGGAATACCTCCCACTGGACCGAAATCGAAAGTGCCAAGCGCCGATATACTTTAGTAAATTAAATTCAGTTGACGACTTTCACTTGTGACTTATTGTTTGTATAAGGAACGTCGAGTTCAAAATAAATGCTAGTTACTTTAACAAGACCACGATTTAGTTATCTATAGTAATATTATATAGAGGTAATTTTTTTAAGTTTGTATGTAAGGCGTAATCTTTGGAACCGCTGGTCGGATTTAGAAAATTCTTTCACTGATACTCGTATATAGCTACAATGTTCGTGACTGCTATAAGGCTATATTTTATGCGTGTACGGGAAGTTGCTCAGAACGCGAGGGAATATGCGCGAAAAAGCAAGTATTATTTAACAAAATCTGCGATAGTTTGTGTCTAGTTCTTGTATAATATGGATGTATAAAAATAGTTATAGTAGGTATGTATTTCGCTCCACCCGGAGTAAGAAGAAATGATTTCTTTCTTAACAAAAAAGAATTTCACAAAGACATGCCAACACTCAACATCTAAATATATTATAAGTATATAAAAAAGAGCAGAGAGAATAACAATAAGTAAATATAATTTAATAATAACCTTATATAAATTTCTAAGAATAGTAATAATATTTAATTGGATGATAAATAATGATTATAATAATAGAATACCTATGTATGCGCATCAAAGGCTTCTGAGAAAATCTAAAAATACTTTTTAAATTCCACGTTGGTAACTATTACCCACTTATCATTAAGCGCAAATAGCTGACGACCTGAATAGAACCATTATATGGCTTCAAAATCCTTACTAAGACAGGATTATTGTATTAGAACAATTAAAGTGTTAAATACCTAGTGTAACTAATACCTTTGACCTTATAAATAAACCTTGACATTCTCTATTTGATAAAGATAAAAAACTATTATAGTGCCTTTCATAAAAACATAACACTCATAAATGAAGTCATTGATTTAAGGTGAAGCAATGACTTCATAAAAGGAATTTATAAGTTTTATTCTATTCCTTTATATTTATAGCTACCGAAGGTTCAAAAAGAAAAATGACCAGTGACAATTTTCAAATTAAATGTTGCCTCAATAAAAATCTAACTAAACGAAAATAAAACGACAGAATAAAAAAAGCAATTCTGCAATTTAAAATATTTCCATTTGAAATAAAATAAAAAAATAATAAAAAGAAACATCATTAGCACCTATCCCAAACGATAAAGGGGTTACTGACCGGAGAATGGCAATTTAATAAAATATAAGCGAATATAATCTACCTTGATTCTTGATCCTGAATCGTTTATGCTAATGTGACAAGCCAGAGAAGTGACAACTAACTCTTAACGGGTCATAACCGGTTAGTTTAAAATAAACTTGTAGCCGGTTGAGGCTAAATTGAGCCTTAAAAGGACTGAGGATTCTGTATATGGAATAATACTTCTACAGGGATGAGAGAGGTCATTGAACTATGCGAAGGATAATCCAAAAAGGTTGATTATTGCTTTAAGGAAACTAAAAGCTTAAACAAACTCTCTTGGATAAATAATAATAATAAAATATTCGGCTAAAAGTATTTGTAATTTAAAGTTCGCGAATATAATATCTGCAAGAGAAACTGACAGGCTCATTTCAACGATTGTTTTTCTCTTATAAAGCTTTACATATGCAATGATTTTTTATGTAACGAAATGAGATAAGTATACCAAAAAGTGTGGTAGAGCCACGAATGGCCGGCTCGATTGGAGTGATACCACGGCCTCACAGTAAAACGGCGTGAAGCAACACTTATTTTGTGTTTCGCCGTGTGTGAGGTTACCAGAGGCCCTATCCTTCCCTATCCTCAATCCTCAAATCCCTAATAAGCCACAAGAGGCCGGCAACGCACTCGTATTCTTCTTTGGTATTGCGAGTGTCCATGGGCGACACTGATTGCTTAACATCAGGTAATCCGTCAGCTCGTTTGCCGAACTATGCCATTTAAAGAAACTTACCAGCATATGGTTCCTAATATCATCGTAGACTATGAGCTGGGATAGTGTCTCAAGTCCGTGTCTCACACCGAAGAACGAGCCTCCCTTGATGGTAGCATTGATTCTGTCTCCCATCGCTTGAACGCGGATCGTGTAGCTCTCGTCCATGTCCAATGAAAATTCTGCACAAAACATTAACAATTAAGGTCTATATTCGATAATCGACGCAAAATAATTGACCAACCATCAGAAATGTACTCAAACATAGGTACCTGTATACCTCTTTATCAGGAACTAATTTTTCTAATTAGTTCATTGTTTTTATGTTCATTATTCCATTTATCGAGGAAGGCTATAAAACATCGCGCTACGACAAATATACGATAAATACCGCCTCATTTACAAAAGAACTACTCAAAATAAAAAAAAAAGACTTATAACTGTCATTTTTAAAAACAGAATAACTAGACATGAAGCATGAAGTTCAAGACAATAAGTTTGTAACCGTCTATAAAGGAACATTTACTTCTTTACAATAAAAAAAGAAACGTTTTCAGTAACCTAAGCACATTTTAAAGCTGTCGGGAGCATTGTCTCCCAATTCTCATGTAAATCAGTAAATCACGAACCCACGCGTCTTTCTTTTTTTATTTTCATACATCATTAGGCAAAGAGAATCGTACACCGGTTCTTGTGTCTACGATCACATAAACATTATGTCACCTCGAAGGATGTTGACCTTACATTGAATTGACTATGTATGCGTCATGTCTATCTCAGTGAATGTAAATTACTTATAGAATTCAACTTGTTTTCATGGGATAAGTCGGCAAATGAGTAGACGGATTACCTGATGCAAAGCAATCAACGCCGCCCATGAACAACCGCAACACCAAAAGGAGTTACGTGGGCATTGCCGGCCTATTGGGGATTAGGGTTTTGGATATTTCAGGATTGGAAAGAATGAGGGAAGGGATTGGGCCTCCGGTAACCTTACTCACACGGCGAAACACAACGCAGTGGTTTTCTGTGAGGCCGTGGTATCATTCCGGTCGAGCCGACCCATTCGTGCCGAAGCTTGGCTCTCCCACACTTAGCATTAACTGGTCAACTGATACAAATCTGTATTCAGTTTTAAATCGCACGACAATGAAGTAGCAAGCGAGGGTTGCGGGACAAACGTAATAATGGACCGCGATCTCTGCCTGGAGCAGGAGAAGGAACGGGGTGGGTTTTAGTCAGGTAGAGTCTGACACTTTCCGCCTCATGCTGAGCGAGAGGAGTCATTTGGTGATTTTCTTCATTTAAAATGGCCAAAAAAGTAAATTAATTCGACGTTTCAATTCAATAAAATATTGAAGAATAACTATACTTTTATTCATCGATCGATCGATACACTAAATTTTAGATATTTAATAACTAATTATTAAGAAATAAGTAAGCTATTTGACGCAAAAATACTTTATCACAAATTTCCATACAAATTTCATAGAAAAGTATCGTTATTGACATTTGGATAAAAGTATTGAATTTGAGTAGTTGGATTCATTTGTTTTTTTGCACGGGCGATGATGCGGTCTGCTTCTACGTACGTTTGACAAAACCAAGACGAACCGCTAAGCGCGTGACGCCTCACCTATGCGTAAACAAGGCCTCAATATTGCACAAACAATGCCTTCATTCTTTGAAAGAGTGTAGGCATGTTTAATGGTGGTCTGTGTTCTCTGAACATCATACCCACATTTTGCTTTGTATTCGAAGTAGCAAAGATTTTTTCGTACTTGTATGCATATCATTGATCGTATTGTTTATGCATTCATACCTCTTAGCACATAACTGTACCTATTTGGAAATAGGCATTTAGTTACTTTACTCTATTTCCTTAAGATTTTAAAAATAAATAAAATTGCAAAGTTCTATATTTAAATCGAAATGGCAGGGCCGGCTTTTCTAGGACGAGGCGGAGCGCGTGAGGGAACTATCCTCCTTGTGCCCCAGCCGCCGCAGTTGGCGACATTCCAGGCGTCGGGGATCGAGAGATGATCTCCGGCCACCGTAAGCGCGGGTCTGCGGACGGCGAGTAAGGGTAGCTCGCTGCCCAACCAGAACCAGACCCGAGCGTACGGTGCGTAGTGTTCCGCGCGCGGATCAAAGAGCCAATAGACCACCACAGACGGAGCCCTATAGGGCTATGTTCAGCCGGGGTTGCGGAGTAAGCGCAATGAGGCACCGCGACCTCGGCCCAGAGCAGGAGAAGGAACAGGGGGGTTTTAGTCAGTAAGAGTCTAACACTCCCTCCCGCCCGGTCCTGGGCGGGAGAAATCATTTGATGATTTTCCCTTACATTCAATACTTGGGGCGCCTTCTTTAGGAAATTATTTAAACATTAATTGTTGATGGAAAAGGTTTAGTATCTGATTAGCCGAACGGTATTTTTTGCATATGCTATAAATGTATAATTTTCGTTCCGAAACTAATATATTTTTCGGGTGTCTACTCGAAAGACTGACGACCCCGCGCTCCTACGCAGTTGCTTAATCTACTATCTAGTCTTCAATGGCTTATTTCCTTCTTGGGCTATCCAAACATTGTGAGACACGCCCTAAATATAGAAATAATTGACCACAATAAATTATCCGTCAAACATCTCTTTCGAAGGGCATTGTAACTAAGTAATGAGTCACAACACGCATACCATCTCTGGCATTAGTCCAAACAGGATAAATATCTTAAGTAGTCATTACTCTGCCTACACCTAGATGTCTCCGGGATAGAAACAATAGACTTAAAGAATGTTAGTATATGTATAAAATATGAATGGAATTTGTAAATAAAAACAGTTTATTATTACATACATATAATAACTATAACATAATATTTGTAACAGCTGTGTGAGAGAGCCATGCTTCGGCATGAATGGGTCGGCTCGGCCGGAGTGATACCACGGCCTCACAGAAAACCGGCGTAAAATAACCACAGCGTTGTGTTTCGCCGTGTGAGTGAGGTTACCAGAGGCCCAATCCTTCCCCTCACCTAATCCCTCCTCAATCCCTAAATCTCCAAATCCCTAATCCCTAAAAGTTCGGCAACGCACTCTTAACTACTCCGTTGCGAGTGTCCATGGACGGATCTGATTGTTTACCATCAGGTAATCCGTCTGCTCGTATGCCGATCGTTTACATAAAGCTGTGCCATGCGCCCGCGCCTATGTTCACCAGGGATAGTGTAGCTACGCAACAGTGAAAGAATAGTCTAGATGAATATTCGATCAAAAACAAACCATAGACCTCTTTATATGATCCGTTTAGATACAATTTCACATCGAAACGATTGAGCCTGGAGCTCACGAAACAGGGAACCTTAGTGTGAGTTTCAGGATCCAAAGCATTGTTTGTAATCTATAAGCAACTAGCTACACTCGCGCGGTGTCACTCGCTGCTCGGCTCCATTTAATCGTAGCGTGATGTTTTAAAACCTATGCACTCAGGAATATTGTAGCTATCTATTAGTGAAATATTTTGGAAATCCGATCAGTGGTTCCAAAGATTACCCCCTACATACAAACTTACAAACATACAAATTTTACCTCTTTATTATGTTAGTATAAATAAAATTATTCTTATACTTATTTCTAAAATATTATGTTTTTTTTTGTCATAGACATAGAATATCTGATTAACTTTGTCAGAGATAACTTTGTCTGATTAAATTTGTCAGACCGTCAATTTGTCACCGTGTTACAGTTACACAAGAGGCGATCGTCGTGCTTATAAGGCGCGGTTTCCTTTAGAAAGTCAACAAAACTTGAAACGAGTTTGGTTAAAACCATGGATGTTATATAGCTCCATGACCGAAACTGAAACTATCGAATATTCTCTATCTTATATATTAATCTCAATCAATTGCTGTTTGTTAGTCTCGCTAAAACTCGAGAACAGCTGGACTGAATTGTTAAGATCTCGTCTGGAAATATTCGAGGAATTCCAAGGAGGTTTTAGACAAAAAAGTGAAAAGAAAATTTTATGCGTGTCAATCAGTCTGTCTATCTGTAATCTAGTGAAGCTATTTGCTCGTTCCAAAGTGTTGATTCATATCTTTGATTCCTATGGAGAAGAGAACTAACAAGAAATTCCATGGTTACTCTCTTTCAATAAAATTCACAAGTCATTTCTTTCAGAGAATATTAGTTAATATTGAAACGGTACGGAGTTCGACGGCTCGGGTAGTCTGAAAAAAAATATCTGCCTGTCACCGTGTCCTTTTTACAAGTTTCGGATAAGGGAAGAGTTTAAATTAAGCATGTTTACGATAAGTTTTTGGCTTATACCACACACGCCACGTGAATCTTCTTACAATCACACAATATCCTCTTCAGTCATAATCTTAATTAAATAGCTCAACGTAAAACCCTTAACCAAAATTGGAATATCCAGAACTAAAGGATAATTCGAAATAAATACCGACATATGCGTAATTCGTATCTGAAACCTATTCTCCTATATCCGTATTCAGATCCAAAATATCAAATGTAATATCCCCATTAAAAACCAAGAGGAGGAATTCTAAGAATACACATATTAACTTTGTTGTGTTTGAAGACATATAAATATAAATATTTATTGGTATTATGACAAAATGGATGATCGTAAAGTTGTAGTGATTTGAGGCTAAATCGAGTTAGAATTGTTATGATGAATTATTCCTGTTCTTTAAAGCTGGCACAATTGGGTAGTTTCCTGGATCGAAATAAATTAATTCGACGTTACAATACAATAAGATATAAAAAATTAACTATACTTTTATTCATCGATCGATCGATACACTAAATTGTAGATATTTTTTAAGAAATATGTATTATTTGACGCAAAAATACTATGACGTTATAGCTCATTGTTTCATACGAATTTCATAGAAAAGTACCTATTGTTTTTGACATTTGGATAATGTCAAAAACAATAGTATATCAATATTGTGATGATGTAACAAAAAATGTTCAAAGTATTTTTACTAAGTATAAATTATAAACAGCTTACCTCTAACGTTAGGTCTATCGTTTATTAGCAGAACAGTCACCGCTTTCCCCGTAGATTTCGGAGATATGCCTTTCGGTATCGCCTTTGATAACAAACTCTTGAATCTCTGTTGACAAAAAACGTTACTAAATTACTAAAAATACTCTTTACTAATTCTTCTCATTAAAATCGTCGCTAAATTCTTTCTAATAAAGATGAATTTTAGTTTCGTTAGTTCGTTTTTTAAATAGTATATAAAGGTGTGCGTAAAAAAAAAGTCAAGTTTTTTAGGGACCAGCCCCATAGCCTCCAGAAGCCATGGCAACTCCTCTAAGCCAGTTTCTACAGTTACAACAACCATATAACTACCGAAACACTGAGGAATCATACCAAATATTGTAATTCAATTGGCAGAAATCAATAATTTGCCTATATTTAAATATCCCCAAAATCAAACACAACGCCATTACGTAACAAGCTGGTTAATAGCACTAATGAATTTTGCAGGAATACAGTCCTTTTATTATTAAAAGGGATACATCACTGGATGTATACCCTTCGAGCCCAGAAGGCCTACCATGATGTTTTAAAGCATGAATCTTTCGAGCGAGAAAGAGGGATGGAGCTATAAAAGGTGTAAAACTCCATCCCTCTTTCTCGCTCGAAGACTGACGCTTTAACATGTCATGTTAGGCCCTCAGTTTTGTATCCACCCGAAGTACAGCTAATTGTCTACTCAAGAGGAATGATTGCAAAAAATAAAAATAGAGTTCTTTTTAATTAGGTACATTTCATTCTTGTACTATTGGAGGTCAATATTATTGATCTATCTGAATTCAATCACAACTTGAGTACCTATATCAGCAACAATTGCATTTATTTACTAGATTTTATAAAGCTGAACAGATGACGGAAACTGTTATCGCAGTCGTCCTTCCCACAATCCATTTTATACATTAAACACAAAAATACTTGTAATATTCCTATCATTCTATACTTGTAGTACAAATATAGAATCTAGTTTGCCATCCCTAACAGTATCCTTATTGGTGATATAAAATAACATCCCTGTTATCAGGGAATAAAAAACAGTCCATAAGTTAAATAAATTAAAAAATATAAGATAGTTTTCGTGTAGTTGTATGAAAACAAATCTTAAATAAAAACGAATTAAAGTTAGAGAGGTCGCTACGTCAGCGCTCAGTATAAAATATACTGAGTTTTTTTTAAGTAATAGGTCGGCAAACGAGCAGACTGATTACCTGATGGTAAGCAATCAGCGCCGCCCATGGACACACCCGCAACGGGATTAGTGATTTGGAGATTTAGGGATTGAGGAGGGATTGGGGGAATGGGACAGATCAACCGAGTGATAACACGGCCTCACAGAAAACCGGCGTGCAACAACCACAGCGTTGTGTTTCGCCGTTTGAGTGAGGTTAGCGGAGGCCCAATCCTTGCCCCTCTCCCCATCTCTTCCCAATCTATAAGTATCAGAAACTTTTATCCCTAAAAGGACGGCAACGCATTTGTTTCTCCTTTGATGTTGCGGTTATTCATGGGCGGCGCTGCTTACCATCAGGTAATCCGTCGGCTCGTTTGCCGACGTATACCATAAAAAAGCCTTTAACCTAGCAGACTAAAAGCATAATTCATCAAAAACTTACATCACCAGCCTCCTTCATAACATCGGCTGATCGTCCTCCATTAGCCATCTTCACTTCCACGTTATTAATGTTGATTTTGGACAAGAAGTTGCCCAAATTTGTCTCTCCAGTGGGCCGGGGCCATAGTAAGCCTGCAAAAAAAATACGATTTAGATCCAAGAATTGTAATACACTTTAAATTAGGGCATATATATGTATAGTAGTACCTAAAATATAAGTTTAATTGTGGGAGAGCCATGCTTCGGCACGAATGGGCCGGCTCGACCGGAGTGATACCACGGCCTCACAGGAAACCAGCTTGAAGCAACACTTACGTTGTGTTTCGCCGTGTGAGTGAGGTAACTGGAGGCCTTAATTTTTCCCCCAACAGCCGACAAGAGGCCGGCAACGGACTTGTAGTAACTCCTTTGGCACTACGAGTGTCCATAGGCGGTGCTGATTGCTTACCAACAGTTAATCCAGTTTGTGGCATGTGTATGTGACATTGTATGTTTGTAAACGCACCCACAACACAAGAGAAAATCCTAAAGTGGGGCAACGTTTTTTTTAAAAAAATTACATAATTAAAAAAAATCCGTTTGCTCGTATAAAAGGATATACATATACATATAACCTATGACGTAAAAGGGAGCTATCCACGGCATATCATCGCAGACCTATACATTCAGTCAACAAAGTATCGGGAATGAATGTTTTTTTTATGGTTCCAAATTCGTTTTTTTTTTTTTTTTTTGTTGTTGTTAGATTGGCATAACTGTTTTCCATTTTGGCGCGGAATTTGAGTTGCATCTGTTATTTATAATAAAAACAGTGCTGTTTTTAGTTTTATAATATCTAGTGTGTATGGCGAATTTCATAATGGACAGAAACATCGAACAAAGAGTTTGTCTTAAATTTTGCATCGCCAATGAAATTTCGTGTTCGGAGGCACTCAAAATGTTACAGAAGGCTTACGGTGAATCGACTTTATCAAAAACACGTGCTTATGAGTGGTACAAAGCGTTCAAAAGCGGTCGAGATGTGATGGAAGATTTGCCTCGTTCTGGTAGGCCATCAACGTCTGCAACTGAAGTTAACATCGCAAAAGTGAAGGAAATAGTGACTGAAAATCCTCATTCAAGTTTGAGAGAGATGGCCGCCGAACTTTCTGTATCTGACGAGTCGATCCGTACCATTTTAACAAATAATTTGGGTATGAAACGTGTTGCCGCACGGCTAGTCCCAAAAGACCTGAATTTTCTTCAAAAACTAAATCGCTTGAAAGTCGCTGAGGACATGCTAGAACGAGTCAATACCGACCCAACATTCATGAAACGCATTGTTACTGGTGAAGAGACGTGGGTTTACGAGTTTGACATGCAAACTAGTCAACAAGCTTGGAATGGCGCCTTCCAACTGAACCAAAACCGAAAAAACCACGTCAAAGTCGATCAAAAGTCAAAGTCATGTTGACTGTTTTCTTTGACTATCGCGGTGTTGTGCACTCAGAATTCTTGCCTGAAGGTCAAACGGTAAATAAAGAATATTATTTGAGCGTTATGCGGCGTTAAGGAGAACAAATTCGACGAAAAAGGCCAGAAATGTGGAAAGAAAATTCTTGGATTTTGCATCACGATAATGCGCCTTCGCGCAAGGCCATCATTGTAAACGATTTTTTGTCCAAACACTCAACAAACACCATCGAGCAGCCACCATATTCACCAGATATGGCTCCAGCCGACTTCTTTCTTTTTCCCACACTCTAATTACCCCTTCGTGGCACCCGTTTTCAATCGTTAGAAGACATAAAGGAGAATTCGCGGCGAGCACTGAACTCAATTCCGGAAACAGCGTTTAAAAAAAGTTTCGATGATTGGATTATTCGTTGGCGTAAGTGTATCGTTTCTGAAGGAGCATACTTTGAAGGCGATAAAAAAATTTAGATGAATAACAAACATTTTGTGTATTATTGACTTTTTCCCGGTACTTTCTTGACAGAGTAGTATATATTTTCTTAGGGTAACGATGGAGTTTCTTGGTCCTTCTTCTCCATTCGGACACATACTTTGGAACCTAGCTTTACTGACGAACAGACTGGCAGACTATTATTCTATATTGACGTATCAAAAGTACCTCTTTATAGTAGTTGGAATCAATTATTTCGATTTAGATTTTTGGAAACGCTCTTTTAAAGAGGATGGCAACGTTATAAGCGCGAAAGTTTACTTATAATAATGGATGAATTTTTCTTACTCTTTCACGTAAAAACTTACTATTTAGATGAAAATTGGCACAGAAATATACTACAATTTGAAATACATAGACATGTAGGCTTTCATCCGAGTTTACAAGCAGAAGTTAGAGTCTATATGGATCTTAAATACTTTGAATAACCAAAATACATGAAGAGAAGTCTGATTTAAAGATATTATTATAAAAGCGGTGAATAGTAAATATACAATAAATGTTCCTAAAAACTATAAAAACAAAGTCATTCCTAAACAGAAAATGTCTAGGACAAAGCAACAAGTTTCTACAGTTACAAATAGTTTACAAAAAAATGTTAAGACATAAAAGTTGAAACCAGTTATCGCCTATTATTCAATTTGGCGAACCGACATTTCGTTTAGTACCTACAAGTTTAATTAATTTCCATAGCATAAAGATTAAAAAATATATAACAAAGATAAAGAAATAATAATAATCAAAAATAATTCGAAAACGACTCTAATTGCCATTGAATTTGAGCTCAAAACGAAATATCATGCATTTTTAATTACTACATACCTATTTCAGGTACTAAGAAGAGTCCATTTAATAAACTGGGTACCTACCGCATCCCGCCAAAAATAAATACGAGTTTGTTGAATTAGGAACGTTGAAAAACAAGATAAATACTACGACAACTGAGCTCATCGATATCTAAAAGTAAAAAAAATGTTCTTTTAACAAAATATCGAATGATTTTTTGTATTTGTATGCAAAGGAATGTGGTCTTAATTTTTTTTATGAAGGCTACTTATATTTAATTACATCACGACTTTATTCTCTTATTGGATAAGCAGAATAGCATATCATATTAGATTCACCATACTTTTTTCCTATAGTCGTTCCCTCATGTCTGAGGATCGTGCATGGTCAGCATTGGGGTAACATCTGGAGCGGATGATCCGCCTCCATCGGTTTCGATGATTTCGAGATTCACCATACACTATTCACCAGTTATGAGTTCCATAACCATATCTACGTTACAACGGACGAGTGGATCCCGCAACGCATAATCTACTACATCAATAGCTGTTCACTCGAAAACCTCAGTAGTAATGTACACTCCTTTTAAAATTATTCAATTACTGCTCAGTTTGTGACATGTTGTTTGACATGGAGAACTAAGGAAAGCTAAAGGCTCTAGTTTTAGTCTAAGGTTAAAGTATTGTTTTGTTTGTTATTTTCTATTTCTCTTTTTCCTGTTGATTTAGTTTATCACACAGGGTCTTATGTCTCTTACATTTTTCCATTCGAAGGACTGCAGGAAGAGATTCCGTATAGGAATATGCCTTCCTATGATAGAAAGAGAGAGAGAGAGAGAGACATTCTTCCTAGAGGTTTCTATGTACTTCTGTCTCTATATTTGTTCTCCATTTACTGTAGGTATGTGTGATGTGCATAAATAATAAATAATAATAATAAGGAGAATACTTTTATTTAATTTTATTTAGTAACCTTCCTCCGTTTCTTACTAAGGACTTGAGCTTCATTTACTAAATTAAAATATATATTATGATTGTCCCTGGTTTTTCCAAAACTACATCGTAATTCATGATCGTGTACTGATCGATACCAACAGCACAGCCAACAGTACCTAAGCAGTTAGACACCAATAGATCAGCTTCTATTATGACCTAATTAAAATGTATACCTACCAATGTAAAATTCCACTACAAAGGCATACAAGTACTAACTAAAATATAAGAATAGATATTAAATATTATATGTATGAGCTTATCTCATAGTTGCAGAACAATGAGGGAAGCGGGTCATTATGGCGCTGATAGGCCATCAGTTGACGCACTGTGCTACAGTCTAGGCCCAATAGGTTTGCCTCCATGTACTAAACGCATACTAGTAGTATTTAGAAAGCGTAAAGCTATATGGTGCCACAGTTATGACTGTAGTTCAATGGACTATGTGGCAAGTACCTACCCATAAATTGCTATCAGTGCAGTGTGCCCATAAAAAAACATTTGCCGTTATTTCTTCAAAAAGAAAGAAAATACAATATCTATTCCGATTTCCATTTCTATTTTGAGCTCTCTATTGTGAGGTAGGGCAACAGGATGGTTCGGATTATGTATTTTAGCCATTTTGAGGAACTACTTGAAGTGTTTTAAGATACTTCCGAGAGACAATTCGCTGAGATCAGTACGTAGCTGAAGTAACCATGTTTGTACATAATACATATTACTATTCCCCAAAGATGTCATTTAGCTACACTCTATAAGAAGTTTTCTATATACTGAATTACTCAATACAGTATATTATGCCTCATGGTTTCACTTGCGTGCATCGCTTATAATAGCGTGATGATAACAAATAATATACATAATGCATTTTCCTTTTAATACAAACATATATTTAGATTGTTTTTTAAACTATTTTCCGTGTGTTCGATTTAAATTCAAAGTTCTAATATCGAGCATAGGGTTTCCTGTATGCTATGCTAATACAGGTAGCTTTTTGCAATCTAAGAAGCATGACAAAACTATTAATCACATCGTCATCCTATAAGAGCCCACTGCTGAGTAAAGGCCTCATCTCAGACGGAGAAAACTTGCTCAAGGCGGATTGGCGATTTCAAACCTATAATTAGAAATTAGTCCCTGTTTCCTCAAGATGTTTTCCTTCGCCATATGTCAGTGGTGTCTAAATAATAATAGAAAGTACATGTAACTAGAAAAGAGTCACATTGGTACTTGCCAGGTTTCGAACGCACACTCTCATACATGAGCGCGTCTGGGCCACCACGATATTCTGGTTTACGGGATTGTCGCTTCATACTGTACAAAACAGGTGGAGGCCTATATACGAGGTCGGATAACATAAGTAAGAGACTATCATAGACTTACAACAACCACTCGATGGTTTTATCACGAGAGTAAAGTCATTACTTACATCCTTTTATCGTTATCATCGTGATCATTGACAGCGGCCTCCAGTATTGATCGGATGTCGATAACCGTCCGCCATTTCTTTACTTTTTAATGGTTTCACTATGGGGACATGCATTATACTTACACTGATATACCTAGTTAAAGTTAGTGTCGGTGTTAAATATATGTTTTGTTTTATGTAAAAGGTCGGCAAACGAGCAGATGGATTACCTGATGGTAAGCAATCAGAGCCATGGACACCCACAACAACAGAGGAGTTGCGAGTGCGTTTGGAGATTAGGGATTGGGGGAGGGGAAGGATATAGACTCCGGTAACCTCACTCGCGGCGAAACACAACGCTGTGGTTGCTTCACGCCGGTTTTCTGTGAGGCCGTGGTATCACTCCCGTCGAGCCGACCCATTCGTGCCGAAGCATGGCTCTCCCACACTTTATTTTCAATCAAATGGTTGTCGCCTTGATAAGATCGCCCAATGTATTCACAACGTTATTTTATTGCATATTGACTTAATTAGCCTGAATTAAGAATGAAAACGCGACTAGGCGATGATGCCACAGGGGACACCGGTGTTAGTTTGGGGATTACTAGGAAGATGAGTTGACATTTATAGATAGTTATTCGAAATTTTTAGGTTATAATCATGTCTGTACCTACCCACGTACCCTAAGACCGCTTAGTATGAATAAAAAATATTTGATAGCAACCACTCTACAACTCTGACTTGTCCATGCTTTCACAAATATGTGCACATTGAAATAAAAGGCGCCAAGACTTTATGTACCTAGGTATGCATTAGTTGACTATATTTACTTAAATTCCGTCTTTGCATATCGAAGATACCCAAGTTCTGTTTTAATTTTATTTTAAACTCCATATTTGTTTTTTGCGGTAGTACGCCCCTTTGGCGTCAGTCAGGGTCATTTTGCAAGCAATTTGTATCCCCTTAAAATACCAATACAATACAACAGTGACTAACTCAAATGACACATACCTACTTGATATTTACGAAAACCAGTTCCGTATTGTCACTACCCGACATATGAAAATAACATTGCGTGTCGTTAATCGATTATATCTTTACGATTATAAAATCGATTGCGAACGTGCCTAGAGCATTGAACTCGACATCAAACGTTGCCTATAGAGATAGAAAAAAATCGAGTTCGATTTTTAAATTGCAATTGACATTTAAGGCTTGTTGTGACAGAAAGTAGGTCATAAAGATATGAAATCCTTTTTTATTTTTTAAATCTGCACGCTATCTTTGTAACTATATTTGTGTTTAGGTATTGTAAGATATTTTTATCGACTTTTTGATATTAACAAACTATTTTGAGAACAATGCATTACTTTACTGGCATTAGGTATTCTGGAGTGGGTATTGCATACATTTTTGCGTAGATATAGTCGTAAGTTACAGTTTCGTTCTACTTAAATTTAGTTTTGTTTTGTAAAGAACTCTTTATTTCTCGAACAATAAAACTATGTACCTATTGTTAAATAAATTCCCTATTATGTACCTACACATACCTACACATAAATATGTATAGTATTTGTAGAACAGATAAACTACATTTGCTTTGTACGTACTTAATAAAAAATGCAAACAACCGTGTTTGTCATAAATGCACAATACTATTACATCATTGAATCTTTTTTCATTCGATTGGTGTTACCTATTGGAATATTTCAGACAAAAATAATAAAATATGAATACGCGTATTACTATGAAAAAACTCATGTGAAATGTGAAATGTGAAAGCGACTTTATGTAGTGATATTGATATTCATATCACTGTGAAAATACGTCATAATAAGTAATCGATATTTAGAAATTATAATACCCAACACGAGGTAGATGAAAATTTTCTCATAAGCTCTTCCTAATTTCTTCCAGTGGTTTTAAAAATATCAGGATGAAGGATCTTGGAAGTACCTACAAATTGATTGCCGTGTCTAGCATGTTGCAGTTTCAGTACGCACGGAAGAACTATACTTAGTATGTGATCCGATATTTTTTATAAACAAGTAAGCATCTATAAATAAAAACGGAATCCTCCAAAATGTATGTGCCTTAACCATGTAGCCATAACTGTCGAAAAACCGCAACGAATTTGTTCCTAACATTTTCATATTGTCGTAATCATTAAGAAAAGGTTTTATGAAAGAAAAGAATCTCGACACTTTACAGAGAACAACGGGAAATAGCATCCGGGTGAAGCCAGGACGGACATCTAGCATATTATAAAATTGGAAAGAAAGATAATCTTTAACACTTCACCGAGAACAATAGGAAAATAGCGCCCGGAAGAAGCCAGACCTGACTTCTAGCATTTTATAAGGTAGGTAAAAAAAAGTATTTAAAAACTCGAGATTTAAAATGACTGAATATAGGGTCCGTTCCAGTTTTCTTTTTAATCTCAATAGTAAAGGCCGAGCCGATAGTTTTGTTATAAAGTCGAAGATCTTAATGAAACTTGTTACGACTTACCGTAGTCACCACAGAACATCTTGCAAGCTTCCATGCTTAGGACGGGTTCCTTATTCTGTGGATCATTTCGGGTCTTCACGCACCTGTTTTCTTGGCACACCCATCGCCAGGGTAAAGAGTCGTCGGCTGACGAACTAAAACAATAACACAAAGATTAGAATATGGGACCTTTCTGCATCTGGCATTATCTGCCCAGGGTTGCGGAGCAAGCGCAGTAAGGTACCGAGGGGGTTTTCAGTCAGTAAGAGTCTGACACTCCCTCTCATTTTGACTTAGATATGACGAAAATGTCGGCCTAGGTTTTTCTAATTATGTTATCATTGCCATGCATCATCAGCCCTCTAGGCAATTTCAGTATCGATAATCGTTTATCGCTTTAGAAACGAAAGAAATGTATGGATATCTCTGAAGGTTATTTACTCACGTGAACCTTACGCTGCGACGCGCACGGTGCTCATGAATAAGAGTCCCGCCGATATTTGAAACTAATATAGCTTACTTTAATAAATTCACGTGAGTACTTGATACCTTCTTTTCAATAAATCCTGAGCATTTGTCTCGTTTCTAAAGCGATAACGATTACTTAATAATACTTAACTTGCCTAGGGGGTGATACATGGCAATAGGCTTCAACTTGGCTAGGGGGGGGGGAGGCAGGCATGAAATTCTAGACTTTTACCGTTTTTACTAAATTTGATCTGTAATGGACTGTATAGACAATCATTTTGTCAATATGTCCTACATACAAGTAATTGTCTTTTATAAAGAAATATAATTTTGAAATACAGACAGATTTTCTTGGTTAATTGAGTTAACCTGCACCTGCTTCAGCTACACCTGGGTTAAGTCAAAGTTTGAAAACAGACTACTTTCATCATATTATTATCAATAAAGTTGATTTCCACAGTTTATTGACTACGGTCAAAAGAGGTCATACAAGATGACGCAAATGGATGATCTTCTTTAAATAGCCTCATTAAAAGCCTATTTAAAGAAGTGTACCTATTTGCGTTTAATTGCAGGAAGACTATCGTTGGAGGAGATCAATTAATAGATCGGTATTTAACAGAACCTTAGGTATCTGCGAGACCTACCCACCTAGGCCTAAGTAAGTTTTTTTATGTGATGTACCTATATGACAAACGGACGAAAGCAGGCGGATTGCCTGATGGTAAGCAATCAGCGTCAAACAAGAACCACCGGAACAAAGGGAGGAGTTACGAGTGCGTTGCCGACCTTTTGGGGATTTGGGAGATTTAGGGATTGGGGAGGTATTGTGTTTCCCCGTGAGAATGAGAGACTTATCCTTCCCTCTACTCCTCCTCTCTCCAACCTCAATCCCCAAATCCCCTAACCGTAAATCCCTAATAACCCACAAAAGGTACGCAACATACTTGTAGTAACCCCTTTTAAACTACAAGGGTCCATGGGTGGCGCGACACCAATTGCTTACCGTCAGGTAATCCTTCTGCACATTTGCCGACCCATCCAATAAAAAAATATATTATCAAGAATTGACTAACCTAAAAGACGGATATTCAAAAAAAGCAATTGTTCCTAACCCTATTTTTTAAAGGTTTGACGCAATCATATCCTAGTCTAACACGACGATGCAACTTCAGCAGATTAAATTTAATATGTAGTGGGTTCATTGATAAAATCTTTAGGGACATACGCTACTTTCCCATGGTATAAAAGTCCCATAAATATTGCTGGACATCCGAGGATATCCTGGCAGCGTTAAGCGGTTTTTTATTATTTAGGCTAGGGTCTGGTGCGACGGGATGTAGCGAAAGTGATAGGAAATTATTGATGTTTTTTATTTGGTAGGGTCATTCTTCCGCTGAACAGTATATTCATTAGACTTACTTATGTATTTTAGTAAGATCTTGCAGGCTCAACGTTTGTGTGGAAAAACTATAATCGTGAGTCTCTCAGAGATCACTCTTAAATTACGCTACCCATATCTACAAAACCAGAAAGGGAGGGAAAGGAGGAAAAGAAGGAAAGACACGCTTGCAGGCTAAAGGGCGAAGCAAACAAGTAGATAAATAAATAATTACATTTTGACAGTTTGACAACTAACATTTAGTAGGCAAGCAATCTTATCTTACTAGATTATTTTAAGCTGTTTTAGAAAAATAGTGGAAATACCGATATTTTTTTTTTTTGTTTAAATAGGTAGGCAAATTTAGGCAAAAGTTAATCTTTTCAAATCGTCAATGCAATAAAAATCGCACTTTCACATTATTTTATTTTCCGATATTATAATCATTTTTTTTTTTATTCATTTCTACCAAATAATTTACTTAATTAGACATTACTACGAATTTTCTATGGTAGAAAAAAATTTCGCACACATTAGGTATTGTTAAAAATTTATAGAAAGCTGTTGATGTTAGGAATTCAAAATATTTACCTGGATAATTTTTGACCATGTAGATACTACTAAGTTGTCAAGTACCCAGGCATCAAACACAATTACAAGAAGACTTCAAGATTAAAAATATAAAAAAAAAACAATTTATTGACTACTCACCATAGTGTAAACAGCACAGCAAACACACAACACCTTTGGAGCCACATTTTAACTGAAAGTAAAACAAAAACAAACATTTTATCTCCTATGATAACACTCATATCGACTTATCTCTTAGATTTGAAGAAACAATTCATTATAATCGATTGTAACTACATATATCACACTATTGTAGTAAATAATAACCGACAACACATTTTTAAATGGCTTTTTTTAAGGGTAAAGATCATCTTGTGCCTGCTTTATTATTCGATATGGCATAGTTGTTTGGGAAAAATTCTGTGTTATCGCAAGTACGGAAAAGAAATAGGCTCTTAAAGAGCTCAATCCTTCCTACCAAATCCGTAACCCCAAAAAGACGCCAACGCAGTTGTAACTCCTCGATTTTGCGGGCGCTACCGAATGCCATCGGGTTATCCGTTTGCTCGTTAAACCCATAAAAAGCTTTCTTAACATCGAACATCATATTTCAAGAATGATGACCACAAGCAGATTAACCAATAGGCAGAGAAGGCAAATCCCTATGGGCCCTGGGCGTTCGAAGGCCCCTCAGTCAAGAAAACAAAATAACTTCATAGAAGAAGACTTTGCGAATTAATAACCTCTCATCGATCGGGTAAAAACTTAAATTCGTTCCCAAAAAAGAACCATACTTTTGTGATAGGAAAATCATCAAATGACTTCTCTTATCCAGAGTAGGGTGGGTAAGAAGGAATGTCAGACTGTTACTGGCTATCACCAGTTACCTTATGGCGCTTGCCCCGCAATCCCAAGTGAAAATAGGCCATTGTGACTCATAGGCCCCATCTGTAGTGGTCTATCTATAGTCTATTGGCTCTTTAAAACGCTACGCGCCGTACGCTAGAATCTGGTTGTACCTAGTCGAGCGGCGAAATAAATAAGGACCCGAAGAATTCCATTGCCCTAGACTCTCCTAGACTAGATTAATCCAGACCTGATGAAGACAGGTTGGCAAGAGCTGAACGAGAGTAATGCACTTCGTATACTAATATTGCTATACATTTACATTGTTTGTTTGTAAATGCATGGAACCGCTGGTTGGATTGCCAAAATTCTTTCACTGATAGATAGCTACAAGTTCCCTAGTGCTATAAATGTTATATATATACCTTATATGCGTATTTTGGACTTTTCAAACGTGGTAAATTGAGGCACAATAGAAAAACAATAGGTGCGCGAAAGCCGTTGCCGCCGTTTAATGAATTAAACGCTGCTATTTTTAAAATCAATATTTTACCTACTATACTGTGACAGAAAACTCTTTGACATCATGACGTCAATGGATGGTTGTCAAACGTTGCCTAGAGATTGTAAATTTCGTCGTGAATTGTCAACATGAGTTGGTGTAATCGGTAAGGCGTGTGGATTACACCACAGAGACCCCGAGTTCGAGTCCCGCCGTAAACATGAAGTTTTTTAGTTGATGGAAGTTTTGTCGAACTTTCTGGAATATTTGAGTGAAAGTGATGAAAAATTAAGGAGCGAGAAGGAGAATAAATAAAAATGAATAACGAAATTATTGGAAGGTTCTGGAGGCATGACGATCAAAAAGAATAACGAAATTGAATGTTCTAGAACCTGACCGGGGGTATATAAGCGGAACTGCGGCTCACCGCTGGCAGTTGAGTTCTAAGTCTAAAGCGATTCGGAAGAAAAGGAAGAGGTGAGAAAGAAGAAAAGTGAGTGAAATAGTGAAGTGCAGTGAAATAGTGAAGTGCAGTCAGTTAAGTGAGTTAAGTCAGCGTGAACGGCAAAGTTGTGTCAGTCGGCCGGACTCTGCTGGAGAGGAACGCCGATAACTTAACTCCGTGGACGCTGTAACTTAAGTGCAATAGAAAGTCTGAAAACCGGTATTAGTGTTTCATTTCATCCAATCCCGTAACCCAAGCCCGCATAGTCAGGAACGTGACGGCAGGCACGTAACATTTGGTGTCAGAAGTGGGATTCGAACCCACGCCCACAAAAGTGGTGGCAGATGGATCAAATGTTACGTGCCTGACGTCACGTTCCTGACTATGCGGGCTTGGGTAACGGGATTGGATGAAATGAAACACTAATACCGGTTTTCAGACTTTCTATTGCACCTAAGTTACAGCGTCCACGGAGTTAAGTTATCGGCGTTCCTCTCCAGCAGAGCCCGGCCGACTGACACAACTTTGCCGTTCACGCTGGCTTAACTCACTTAACTGACTGCACTTCACTATTTCACTGCACTTCACTATTTCACTCACTTTTCTTCTTTTTCACTTCTTCCTTTTCTTCCGAATCGCTTTAGACTTAGAACACAACTGCCAGCGGTGAGCCGGAGTTCCGCTTATATACCCCCGGTCAGGTTCTGGAACATTCAATTTCGTTATTCTTTTTGATTGTCATGACTCCAGAATCTTCCAATAATTTCGTTATTCATTTTTATTTATTCTCCTTCTCGCACTTTGATTTTTCATTACTTTCACACCAAAAGCTTCCAGAAAGTTCCACAAAAACTTCCATCAACTAAAAAACTTCATGCTTACGGCGGGACTCGAATAATGCGGGATAGTGATAGCGCGGTAACGAAAGGTTTATGGGCACAGTGGAAAAGCCTTACGCTGCATAACGGACTTCTGTGCAGGAAATGGGAATCAACAAACGGCAAGGACGAGCATTTGCAATTGGTGGTGCCTCGTTCAAAAATAAGGGATGTATTAAAAGCGTTCCATGATGGATCTTCTGGAGGACATTTGGGAATTAGGAGGACTTTGGTGAAGATCAAGGAGAGGTTTTATTGGTTGCATTGCAAATATGACGTCGAAGATTGGTGCCGGAAATGCACTAGTTGTGCAGCTGTCAAGGGTCCACAAACAAGAAGCAGGGGGGCGATGAAAATCTACAATGTTGGTATGCCTTGGGAGAGAATAGCCTTAGACATCGCTGGACCATTTCCAATCACTGATTCGGGCAATCGCTACGTTTTAGTGGTTATGGATTATTTTACAAAATGGCCGGAGGTCTTTGCCATACCGAATCAAGAGGCAGTAACTGTAGCCACGAAGTTGGTAAATGAGGTATTCACCCGATTCGGAGTGCCCTTGGAGATGCACAGTGATCAAGGGCGGAACTTTGAATCCCAAGTTTTTCAGGAAACTTGTAAACTTTTGGGAATCCATAAGACTCGAACGACCCCTTATCATCCACAGTCAGATGGAATGGTCGAACGTTTCAACCAAACATTGGAGCGACACTTAGCAAAGGTGGTTGACAGCCATCAGAGAGATTGGGACACTTACATACCTCTCTTCTTGCTTGCCTATCGGACTGCTGTACATGAAAGTACCGCAAAGACGCCTGCATTTGCAAATTTTGGAAGGGAATTGAGATTACCGGCAGATCTTGTATCGGGCTGTCCACCTGGCGACACTCGCACCGAGTTTAGCGATTACATAAGCGAGTTAAGGGCAAAAATGTTGGACATTTACGAGCAGATCAGGGAGGCCGGTCTTCAAGCTAGTGATCGCGCAAAAACGCGCTATGATCGAAGAGCCAATTCTGTTGGGTTTGAAGAGGGGTCATTGGTCTGGCTTCATAATCCAGTCAGAAGGAAGGGAAAATCTCCGAAGCTGCAACCGAGTTGGGAAGGTCCTTATGAGATAGTCACGAAGATCAATGACATTACTTACAGAATTCGGAAGACTTCAAGGAGCCCTTTGAAAGTTGTCCATATAGACAGGTTGGCGAGGTATTACGGCAGCAACGATGCTCGGGACGAGCGAATCTAAGAGGGGGGCAGTGTGACGGAAAAGTGGTTCAAACTCTTTGACATCATGACGTCAATGGATGGTTGTCAAACGTTGCCTAGAGATTGTAAATTTCGTCGTGAATTGTCAATACGAGTTGGTGTAATTGGTAAGGCGTGTGGATTACACCACAGAGACCCCGAGTTCGAGTCCCGCCGTAAACATGAAGTTTTTTAGTTGATGGAAGTTTTGTCGAACTTTCTGGAATTATTGTGTAAAAGAAATGAAAAATTAAAGAGCGAGAAGGAGAATAAATAAAAATGAATAACGAAATTATTGGAAGGTTCTGGAGGCATGACGATCAAAAAGAATAACGAAATTGAATGTTCCAGAACTTGACCGGGGGTATATAAGCGGAACTGCGGCTCACCGCTGGCAGTTGAGTTCTAAGTCTAAAGCGATTCGGAAGAAAAGGAAGAAGTGAAAAAGAAGAAAAGTGAGTGAAATAGTGAAGTGCAGTGAAATAGTGAAGTGCAGTCAGTGTCAGTCGGCCGGACTCTGCTGGAGAGGAACGCCGATAACTTAACTCCGTGGACGCTGTAACTTAAGTGCAATAGAAAGTCTGAAAACCGGTATTAGTGTTTCATTTCATCCAATCCCGTAACCCAAGCCCGCATAGTCAGGAACGTGACGAGGCACGTAACATTTGGTGTCAGAAGTGGGATAATTTTGGAAGGGAATTGAGATTACCGGCAGATCTTGTATCGGGCTGTCCACCTGGTGACTCTCGCACCGAGTTTAGCGATTACATAAGCGAGTTAAGGGCAAAAATGTTGTACATTTATGAGCAGATCAGGGAGGCCGGTCTTCAAGCTAGTGATCGCGCAAAAACGCGCTATGATCGACGAGCCAATTCTGTTGGGTTTGAAGAGGGGTCATTGGTCTGGCTTCATAATCCAGTCAGAAGGAAGGGAAAATCTCCAAAGCTGCAACCGAGTTGGGAAGGTCCTTACGAGATAGTCACGAAGATCAATGACATTACTTACAGAATTCGGAAGTCTTCAAGGAGCCCTTTGAAAGTTGTCCATATAGACAGGTTGGCGAGGTATTACGGCAGCAACGATGCTCGGGACGAGCGAATCTAAGAGGAGGGCAGTGTGACAGAAAACTCTTTGACATCATGACGTCAATGGATGGTTGTCAAACGTTGCCTAGAGATTGTAAATTTCGTCGTGAATTGTCAACACGAGTTGGTGTAATCGGTAAGGCGTGTGGATTACACCACAGAGACCCCGAGTTCGAGTCCCGCCGTAAACAT